CAGGGAACAAATGAGAGGTTGTAGATGAATTCGTACACAGTCATCATGTCTGCATGGGGAAAACCCACAAAATCTTTTTCTTCCAAGAGGTCAAAACTTATTTTTAGGGGGAATAAAAGAAAGCAAATAAATGTCTAGAAAGAGTTTTATAATAAGATTGAGGCAATGCCACTATCTCTGCATTTATTTATTGCTGCAAGTTGTGATAGCCATCAATATTCACTGTGATTGTTTAATTTGTGGTCACTGGTGAATTTTTACCTTTTGGTATCTTAATAATCAAAGAGGGGCATTTCAGAGTCTTTGGCCATTAGTAAACTCTTGCTTGCAGGGAAATGGGAAAGAGTAATGACATCACACTTCAGCAGGGAACTTGTATATAGGATATGGAGGGCTTAGGGTCTCTCAGGGCAACGAACTGGATAGAGAGTTCTGACATACAGGAGCTTTGGAAAGGGTTTCTAAGAAGAAAAGGGATAATTCTAGATTGTTACATGGGTCAGTCAGAAGGAAGAGCCATGAGTGTGAAGACCTTCACTATTCCAGAGGGCACCCTTCAAATTAGCTTAGCAAAGCCAGAGATGTCCTCCCAACATCAAGAGACCGGAAGGGTCAAGCAGCCTTTGGGCCATGATGTAGCCAAGGATTCTTCATCTTTATTTCTTGGCAATGTTTCTGGAAGGCTTCATGTCTGCCTGGTCCTTGTCCTGCTTGTGGAAAGGTGACAGTTGAATTTCCAACCTTGAAATGACTTTATCATAGGCAGTTCCAAAGAAGAACTTTCCAGAGATCTCTGGGAAGTCCCAGGAGGACTCCCTTGGGGAGAACATGCTGGTTATCGGTTGGTTAGTGCTGTTAACCACTAAGCTCAGACCCAAGACTCCAGACTCCGGTGAAATTCTTGCACAGAGTAAATGATCAGTGGATGCCGCTGGGGATCTGTGACTTAGAATGGTGGGCGTGCTACCATCTTGTAGTCAAGTCATTTAGCAGAGAACACTGTCTTTACTTCTCCAGTACAGGAATTCGCCTGGCATTAGAACTGACCAACAGTACATTGGCACTTCCACAGACATCCTCTGCCACCCCACTCCACCTGCCTCTTGTTGTACTGGCCAGAGCTGGCCACATGATCCTTCCTAACTGCAACGTGGTCAGGAATGTAGGTAAGTACTAGAATGTTTGATGAGCATCACTGTTCTTGCCAACCTGGCTGAGGTCATATGTCTATCTTTATGTCACACCCGTGGTCAAAGAAAGTTAGATATTTTAGTTTTTGGTTCTAGGTTCTATACCATCCCTGTCGACAGAGCTCCATTTATGCACTCCAGAGATACTGACATCCCCCAAAACAAGCCTACAATTGGTATTTTTCTCCTGGATCATGCTAAGCAATCAAAGTTTAAAGCCTCAGAACCAACTGTTCAGCCAAGTTTTTCTCAGAGTGAAATGAATATCCAAGGTAGAATTGACTGAAGAGGTGATTACCAAGGACACACAGTATATGTAATCTGAAAGGGAAAGACATTGGCATTCCCGAAAGTCAGCTCACACCACATGCCTGGGAAGGTTGCCAAGGGAGGATGAACACGAGCATCCATCAATGACCGGGAGACAGTTCAATGGGTAAGTCTACCCATGTATAGCATGTGACCAGACCTGCTTCAGCAAGGGTCCTGTGCAAGATCTTCCTCATGGAAAAGTGGTAATGTGGACAACAGGTAAAGTTGATGCTCCTGGGTGGCATCAACAATCTAATACCAGAGCCAGGCAGATTTTTGTGAGTTCGAGGCCAGCCTGGTCTACAAGAGCTAATTTTAGGACAGGCTCCAAAGCCACAGAGAAACCCTGTCTCAAACCCCCAACCCACAAAAAGAAGAGTCAGAGACACAGCAGTAAGAAATGGATTATGGACTTGCTGGCTTTGAAGATGGGAAGAAGAGGCTGAGAGAAAAAGTATGAAGTGAGAGAGGATAAGGGAGTATTTTTGTTTCCTTAGAGTTTCTAGAAGGTTCCAAACCAAAGTGGCTCCTTGATATTAGCCCAGGGATACTTCTCACCCCTAAAACTGTAATATGGTATATGTGTGTTTTCCGCTATTCACTTTAGCATAGCAACAATAAGAAACTAACTTTTGAAATTCACACATCCTAGGAACAGGAGATTTAGACAGGACAAAGTCCTTTAGGAAGAAGAAATCCTTTAGGCTGTACAAGTTCTAGACTGTCCTCTGGAGATGAAAGGGCCACTAGACAGACAAGGGCATTAGATGCCATGATTCCGATGATCGCTAAATTGGTCGAGAACAAAGAGGTTCTAGAAAACTCAGTGTTTCTTTGGCCTACTGTGTCCTTCCTGGGATCAAGGTGGTCCCTTATCTACCTACCCTGATGACTTTACATATAGATCTCGAATTAGAACATAGTAAATGCAAGCCAAACAAAGACAAACAACCAGGTATTTTCTCAGCAGGGCACAAGTTGGGTGGGGCGCTAAAAGAACTGGAACTCTGCAAGCCAAGAAGTCAAGGCCAAACCCACAGACCTGGTTAATGAGCAACATAGACACAGCCTGGTCTTGAGAAAGGTAATTTTGCTAATGAGTTGACCCTGGGTGTGCCCTATAGCGTAGTCACTCAGGAGATGGTTGTGAAACAGTGTTCTTTTATGGGTAACTCAGAAGCTTGCATACAGTGTAAGCTGAGGTTTTTAACCTCTTCAATCACTTTGCCTGCCAAGAAGAAACACTACAAGAAAGAGCCTTCCTTCTTGGACTCAAATAGATGCCCCCTCCCACTCGGAGGAGTTCATTGGTCCCAACGTGCAGGTGGAATACAAATTGGTCCCTAGGAATGAGGCTTCCACGGTTGGTAATGGGCCTCCGAATTCATCGCCGCTCCGAGCAGCATCGGAAGTGAAGCACTGTGACCATTTTGCAGAGACTCAGAGGCTTCCCGCTGGGAGCTAATGGTCCCAGTCTTGTTCTTAGTCAGGCATGCGTTCACATTAAGCTTGAACCTTAGTGGCGGCACATCTACTAGTTATCGGCATCCGCGTCATCTGGAGCAGACAAGTCACTCCAACATTTGGATCACATTAGCACCCTTCGCTGGCAGCTCCTTACAGAGGGACTCAGCCTCCTCATGGAGGCCAAAAGATTCTCAGCACCCCTTCTAGGAACAGCTCTGCTGTAGGACAGCTAAGGTGGGAACTACTGACACACTCTGCCACCAATGCCAAGTACCCACAGCTTCTGCTTTGTGGTTATGAGAAGGCTTCATAACACCCAGGCATTGGTTACCAGACTTGCAAACTTGATTGTTAAGCTAATGCATGAAGTAAAGGAGGCCTACCACCTATGGAGCATTGAAAAATACGTGCCTGGTTCACATCTGTTATCTAGCTAGCTTCATCACCATGGTAACACTATGGGACTGGGGCTGTTATTCTTAGTTCTAAACTTAAACCATCCTGGGAAGGTTAGCTTGTCCAGTTGAACTGCTATTTCCTAGCAGAGACTGGGCATTCTCATGATGTCTTTGCACACTTTATATGTTATATTTTTAAAGCTTCCTTTTCAAAAGGTCCCACGCAACCTGTCGATTTTCTTTATCATCCAAATAAATTATCTTTCCTTCTCCAGCACGTAGTTTCTATACTTCTAAATACGATGAAAGATTGATTCAATTCTAATAATTGATATATACTTTCTTTCCTTTTCTTCTGCTGGGAATCAAACCCAAGGCCTCGTGTGCAAGTTTGGCAAGTGAGAGGCTGTGCTGTCCATCCTATATCACTAATCTCTTGATAGGCATTTTCATAGGGTAGTATAGAGATGGATGGAAAATTCTAATGTTGTTGGATAATACAAACTCTGAGTTTAGCTTCAGAAGGGTAGAATTTTTTCTTCTTTATAAAATTATAAAAGAAAACCACATAAATTCTTCTTCTTCTTCTTCTTCTTCTTCTTCTTCTTCTTCTTCTTCTTC